CCCCCCCCCCCCCCCCCCCCCAAAAAAAAAAAAGAAAGAAAGAAAATCAAGAGCAGAAATAGCAATGAAAGGAAAAGTAGTCCATCATCGTAGTTTCTATTAAGTACCCTAATTCTCATAACGTTTTTTAAAAATGATCTCATTATAGTTGCTAATTCTACTATTGGTTTGAGGAATTAATTTGAAAATCATACTTCATTTAAAAGCACGAGTTCGGAAAAATCTTTCGATAGACAAAAATACCATTGAAATTTAAATACTAATCAATTAATTAAGTAAGAGTAAGTTGATAAATTGATGAATTCTTATTGAATATACATAGTATGAAGATAGGGATATAGTTTAAATTGAAATGTAAACATGAATGAAATTATTAAATGCCAACTTTACAAATGTATACAAGATGAAGGACGTATATGCAAAATCCAAACAAATCAACGAGACAAGTAATGTTTGTCCCAAAGGTCAAACCTAGGAACAACGCAGACCTACAAATATACATAATATGGATGATATATTTACAAAATCTACCAAACAAATTAAAGAGACAAGAGTCGTTCTCAAAATTATAAAAAAATTAAAATAAGTGACTGCGATCTGAGGACATAACATTGTGATCTCTCACCGACTAAACTTCAAGTAAATCACGGTACTACATAATTAGTTTTAAAGTTTAACTATACTATAATTATTTATATAAAACTCTATTTATAGTTGTTATTCTCTCACATGCAATATCACATGCCAATATATATAAACCAAAAAATTATAACAATTTTTATAACACTTTCATCTCCTTCTATAGATATGTTCATTTGTTATTTTCTTCTTATTAGATTAGATTTGATTATTTTAAAGCAATAAATTATATTGCGTATTTAATCTTTTTTCATATTAAGAAATAACAATAATTTTCACAACACTTTCATCTATTTTCTTCTTATTAGATTAGATTAGATTATTTTAAAGTAATTAATTATATCGTATGTTTGATCTTTTTTTATATCCGAAATTATAATAATTTTCATAATACTTTCATCTCCTTAAATAGGTATGTGCATTTGTTATTTTCTTCTTATTAGATTAGATTGTTTAAAAATTATGAATTATGAAATTGTAATAATTTTTACATCACTTTCATCTATTTTCTTCTTATTAGATTAGATCAGATTATTTTAAAGCAATTAGTTATATTTTATATTTGATCATTTTTTAGATCATAAAGTTTAAATATACTATTATTATTTAAATAGATACTATTTGTATAAAAGTCAAAGAGAATCTCACACGTATTTTAGATCTCAATGCCAATTGTAATACTTACATATTAGTGTTCGCTAAAATAAATTTCATACATGGGCTTAACTCATATGATCCTACTTTAACCGGATTAGATAATTTATTTATTTTTTTTACCCAAACTCTTCCACAAAACCAAAAGAGAATAGTAATGCTATAGTTATATATATCCACAGGACTACATATATATTGAAAATGAACGAAGAAAACCACACAAACAAAAATCATATTACTTACCCCACACACTCACTATTTTCAAAATCACACTTCTCCATCTCCATCTATAATATATCCAAATACCCAAATTAAGCTATTGGAGATTCCCCCTCACTAACTACATCATTGATCAATCCTCAATTTTTCTTTGTACTTAAATTGTATAACATTCATTGCGATGAGAACTCACATGGGTCCTCTGCCTGCCTTGAACATCCAATAAAAAATAATGTACTAGACCTTATAGTTAGTTAATAATTAGATATTGTCATTTTAAATAAATTAAGTAAAGATTAATAATTCTTAAGAATGTACTGCGTTCTCCTAGGTTTCATAGCAAACTTGTTAGTTGTTTATTCCTGACCCTAAGAGATTTTTAAAATTAATCTTGAGGATTGCTTGCAATAAAAAAGTTCTGTTAGAGGGTCCATACAGTCTGTTTTATAGTTTAAGATTGTCAACACATTTTGTCTCTGATGCTTATCAATTATGAGTAATAATATAACTTTATTGATCTAAGTATATCCTAATATATTTCTGGACTCTTGTCTTGTCTTTTTCTCTTTATTATATATCAACCTGATATCACAATTGATATAGACGATGAAGAAACTATTGTAGAATTGCCCAAGAAAAAGATAAAGGCGGAGAATGGTTGATCTCAGCTCAATTAAATATGAAAAAAGAAGGAACAAATGATAATATTTTTTGAATATTTTATAGTAGAACTTAATTTTTTGAGTAAAATTAGGAATATTCAAAAGGTATTTTGATGTAAAAATTTTAATATGCTTATGTGAATGATTTTGTCATATAAAATTATACTAGAGTCACCAGTAATATTTAGTATTTATTTTTTTATGTTAAGTCTATCAATAATTTAGATGTCTTGCAGTCTTGTGACAAGTATGTACTCTATGCTGAGCTTATACAAACCATCTTAATATTAAGTATTTGGTTATATTTTATTAACACATCAATAATACATTATTGTATTTTTTTCAAACTTAACACTACATTTAATGACTAAGATAAACAAATTAAAGATCGACGATTTGTTCCGATAAAAAAAATATGTTACATGAAGTTTGATATATACAAATTTTAAAAAATAATGTTGTGTATGCAAGTATATTGATCTTAGTTTTACATGCAAATCTGTTTCATAAAATTTTTAAAAATGTTTAAATAAAATTTATAGCAAATGTAATAATTTATGTTTAAAGATTAACTCAAGATGAATTTGACTTATTTTATAGCAAGAAAATAAATAAAAATATAAATAATTTTGATATTTAACTACGTGCATTACACGTGCATAAGAACTAGTCATACTCCCTTTAAAAGTACGAGTTCGGAAAAATCTTTCTATGTTCAATATTACCCTTCACTATTTTAAATATTTCATTTATATATATTTCAATCTATCATAATCATAATTATATCCTATCCTAATCCTACGTGAACTATCTATAGCTTAACAATTTTAAAAAAAATATTAACAAAATATATAAAACATCTTCATGGTATTAGTTTATTAAGAGAAATAAAGTATACGTAGCTAACGTACTATAATACATAAAGTATTAAAAAAACCTAAAAGTTTTAAAATTGCACAAAATACCCTGAAAAGTTTAAAATTATAAAAAATATCCCG